CCTAAGCAAACTCGGGGAAAACAAAAATAGAGCAAAACCAACAAAAAGTAGACACCTGGATCAAGGATCTGCCGCTAACCGGAGGAAAAGGGATCGCGTCGAGGAATTTGGAGGGGAGAGGTTTTCGGCAATAAAGCGAAGACGTTGTCAGTGTGTGATGTCCATTTCGGATAAACCAGTACAACTTTGGGGGCCTGGCAGTCAGGGAGCTGGGCAGACGGGTAAGCAAACCGTCACGGATATTCGGCCTTATGGCCAAAATGTACCAGCAATCCACTTGAGATGCCGCATGGGACAAGATATAGGCGTCAGCAGTTTGCTCAGATAACATGGGTTTAATGTATGAGAGGACCCGTGAATGGAAGGCTTGATATCTGCAAGCATGGGAAGCAGAGTTCAAGCGCTCTGCTTAGTGAAGCGGCAGTGTACCTGCTTCTAGGGCCTTGAGAAATAGCACCTGGAGTGAAATACACACAGCGACTGGAACCGAGTGAAATCGGTCAACCAGAAATAAATAGAACGGATCTACGATACAATGAGGGAATCCGGATTGGAGAACCGAGTCGGATCAGCCGATCGAAAGAGAGGTTGTCGGGGTGAATAGCAAGTGTGATGAAGCCACACTAAATTTGCCACAAAAGAGCACACATTTTGACGAGTGAAATGTAAGCAAGTGAGAAGTTGTGATAGGGTGGCAGTGGGATAAGAGGCTAAAGAGTAGATAGATGGGCCAGGACAGAAATAGGAATGAAGCTAAAAACCTTTGGTATCAGTATATGTTCAAGGGACCTTGTATCTAAGGCAAAGTTTAATAGGTATAGGTAAGTATAGGTTAAGATAATTCATTTATCCAGTACAGAGCTGGGGGATTATGTGATACCTCTGCTAGAAAGAGAATTAAATTTTGCACAATAGCATAAAGTGTAGCAATCTATCCTCACACTTTCCCCATTCAATGTTTAGTTTTTATTACATCCCATTGTTCAACATCCTTTGGCGCGAGATCACGTGAGGGCGTGACTAATCTTGATTCTTTATTTCGCGTCTCCCAATTAAGGCTTGGTATCGCATCATCCAATCAGAAGTTGACATGGAAAACTACGCCAGGGTATATCAAGTGGCTAATATTCTGCTTAAATCGGTCACGTTCTTTTCTTTCTCTTTCTCCTCTCCGCTGTGGACCACGGGGTTTAGAATGTTCTATTTGGCGTCATCTTTCAGTGATAGTCTTCTTTTGTCTGCTTCATCATACTTTATTCGGCCGTTTCAAAATAGGACAAGTGGTAATACTAGTTTTTCCTTTTCTCTCTTCGTTTCAGAGTCTCCATCTTTGGAGTTGTAGAGGGCACGCGTTTTACATTTTAGAGACAGTCCATGTTCTTCTTTCGGACACAACGGAAGTAAACCATTGCCTAGAAACACTGGTTGAACTAATTAGCCTATCAGATAGATTACTTGAACAAGTCATTATGACCAGGTAATTACGCCAAAGAATTCTTTTGTTTTGAGCAGAGTATATAAATATTTAGTTTGTAATCATCCGATTGTTATGAAAGCCGATAAGGATGGAGCAGTTGTAGTTATGGGTAGGTCAAGTTATCTAGAGAAAATGCTTGTACATGTAAGCCTTTAATGAAATATCTTACACAGGGACATAAAACTAGGCTAAGAAATGTTCTGAAGGTACGCGTAAGTAGTGGGGAAGTAGAGAAGTATAAAATGAATTCCCTACTTCAAAGAGATGCTGTGGCACCCTCCGCTTATGGCCTTCCAAAGTTGCATAAAGAAGGGTTCCACCTTAGATTGAGCGTTAACAATAAGGGTAGCATTATGCAGAAAATTTGGCATTTTTATGCATAAAATTAAGAAGTGACAGAATTTTGGTTATTTTCGGTACAAAACTAGTGGACCGGCAAAATATTTCAGAAGAAGATATACTAATAAGTTTTTACGTGGTATCAATGTACGCAAATATTCCAGTTCAAGGAGCCGTTCAGGCTATAATGCTCACTCTGGAAGAGCATTCAGAGATTACGGATGGAAGTAAGTTCAGTATAGCCTCCATTCTATGGATCATTAGCCTATCCATATGGAGTACATATTTCACATTTAACGGTAGGTTTAATGAACAGACGAGGGGTTTTTGCTTAGCTCCAATTTTGGCGAATAACTGCATGGCTAAGTTTGAGGAACGCTTAATGCAAGAGATAATTCAGACTCCTAAATTGTTTGTTAGATGCATGGATGATTATTTTGTGATCCAGCAGCATGGTAGGGATAGGTCAGATAGTTTCATATTTTCACTTAACCAGCATGAAAGCAATGTTAACTTCACAATAGAGTTAGAATAAAATAGAAATTGCATTTTTTTACACGTTTTGGTTATCAGGGAAGGTGGTAGGCTAGGCAGAGATGTTTATGGGAAACCAGCATATGTTGTTTTGTTCTTAATTTGATTTTTGACATAGTTACGGAACTAAGGTTGGAAATTTCGAATCTATGATTATTAGGAGTATGAGGCTTGCGGGTGAAAATCATCTGATCGAAAATTTAAAAAGGCTGAAAGTTGTATTCCTGGATAATAATTATTCTTTGGGCTTAATTTAGAATAATATAGCCTTAATGAGGAATACATTTTCAAGTGGAGACTATTTGGTCAGAGAGAGGCAAACCGAGACCCTTTCTCATGTTCTAATCTTGCCGTTACATTTTCTTTCCAAGAAGATAGGAGAACTAGTGAGGAAGGGGGGGGATAAAGGCAACTTTCACAGAAGCTCTGAAACTTTTTCGGTTACACCTTCTCCTAGAGGGAAATATGACCCCCTATCAAGATCCGGCTGTTACAAGATTATGTACTCCCGTGGTCGACCTTAGGTTGGTGGAAATGCCGGCCTTTTCGACAAAGATTAGGGGAACACAAAAATGCGGGTAAAGGCAGCTGGGTCGAACGGTCAGAAGTGGCGGATCACATGGCGGAGATGGCATGAGATAGAATGGTCTCGTACGCAGAGGTTTGCTGATTATTGTATGTCTGCTACGAAACCCAAGTTAAGAGGCTACTAAAATTAAGAGATTAGGGAATGCGTTAATTGGGAGGAGTGGAGATAAAAAGTTGAGTAAGAATTACTTATAGAGGTTGTTTTACATTGTTTTCGCAACTTGGCCGTATTGGTAGGAAGAATTAGACGAACGCACCTATTTCGGAGTCCATTGTATACATAAGCATTTCCAAAGTCGGACCGTAGACGTGGTACATTTCCATCCGACTTTGGAAATGATCATGCATACAATGGACTCCGAACTAGGTGCATTCCTCTAAGTCTTCCTACCAATATAACCAAACTGTGAAAACAAGGTCAAACAACCTGTATACAACGAAAGGAGACTGCCACCACACAAAAGGCCACGACATCTTGGTCTTCATATTTTTGATTAAACTAAGAATTATGTATGCCTGATTGAAAGATTGAAAAAGATAGAAGATGTTGAGCCGCCATCCAAAAGAAGACGACTCCACTTGTTAGCTGATTGATCGTTCCAACCAATTTAACACTCGTTCAATAAACATGTCAAGCTCATCCGCAAAAACGGATGTGCAGGGCTACGCAATCAGAGCCAAATTTCTCCTTGGGTCATTAAACCTTAATAACCCAGAATAATGGATTCGGACTGGTGTTTTCGCAACCTGACATTAATGTGTACAGACTTACTTCTCATCAATTTAATCAGGGTTATTTGCGAGTTGATGCAATCTCGGTCATCCTTTTTTCTTTTCTTTTTTCCTTGGTTCGCTAAGCCTTGATGATGTTAAGCTTTTTTCTAATTACTTTGAGTTATGCCCGGTTTTGCGTACATACGTTAACATACACGAACACACACACTCTCGGGTTACATGAATTAACCAAACCTATCTAGATCGATTTATATATTAAATTTTGCTCGCAATGATCATACATATTATATGGAAAAAAGCCGTTTATTCTTCTTGACTTGGTGTGACGATGTTCGTCACATGACAAACGAAAGCTTAGTCCGTCTTCGACCGAAACGTTGGAGGATGTTTCGTGGACTGCATCAACCTGAACATCGTATTGATGCCAAACGGCTGCAGTGCAACGCGAATCAGCCGACGTTTTTTTGTGGGATTGACCTACGAATCTCTTCAACATGTACATCCATATTAAATGAAAGTCTTCACATCAATCAGTGTTGCAAAGCGACAAGGCATGACATGTGGCAGAGACAGAATGTTAGATTGTTAAAATAAACTTTTTTCAGGCTTAAATACGCGTCTAAATGAATTCCTTCAGTCTTGACTTACCGATACACTTTCTGACCATCTGAGGACCCTGGATGGTAGTTAAGCCTAATTGATGTCCTATCTGTAACAGAAGTTTGCATAAGAAGAGTTTCGAGACTACCAGTTTGCAGAAATGACGCAATAGTTCCCGATCAATTGGTGGCAAGGGTTTTCAAATAAAGATTAATTTTGAGTGAAATTTGTATGCTGCTGGAGGGAAGCAATGTCGAAGAAATTGTAACTTATCCAGCAGTACTCTAACACACTTGTGGCAATGTGTTTCATACAACCTTCATCAGGCCATTCCAGCCTGTCCTTCAGTGCGTTTGGAGCACGTTTAAGCAGAGTTAACAATGTTGTTACTCTTCGTATAAGCAGAGTTAGTCCTACCATTTGAAAAGGTGAATGCCGAAATTCTGAAACTACTATGAAGCAAAATAGTGTAACCCGAAGGTGTTGTATTGTCTCGGGAAATGATTCATCCATCAAGGACCTTCCACAGTATCGTGTCTTAAGGAGCAGATGCAGGCTACTAAGTGAAGTCAGACCCATAATAAATACAAGGCTTAAACTAGGGCCATCTTACGTTGTTAAAGAAACACACTATGAATATAGGTTATCAAAAGCGCATGTAAGGCTCGTTGAATGTAGAAACGAAAATAGACTCACTTTAGACTGGCTACTTTCCTGTTTGGCTGGCCCCTCTCTGCCGCCCGAAGTATTCTGTCCGGTCTCAACTGCCTCCTCGCCCACCTCAACGCCCAGGCTATGACCGGAATACTGTATCATTTGACACTGGTTGGTTCGAAGAGCTCGTCCCTTATGGTCACGCCCAGAAGAACCAGTGTGACGACTGGAAGAACGCCTAGGTGAAAAGATGGATAGAGAGGGGGGAATGGAAATAGTGTAGATGAATACACGCATTCCAGCAGCATCCAGACAGATTTATCGAACTTTTTTAAATGCGCAAGTAATATTTACAAATTACCACAACCATTTGGAGATGGGAAGAGGGTGGTGTCAGAACCTCATGATATTCCTCACCAAGTCTCAAGCTTTTCTCATATCCGCGCTATAATTATGGTAGAATTTAAGGCCAAATTAAGTTGATGAATGAAATTAGCTGTTTCCATCTCGGATTTCAACTCCTGTTAACCCACTGTGATTGCAAGCTCGAAATGATAAAATGAAAGAAGCTGGCAGGCTTTAGTGTTATTTCATCATACATGCATTTAGCAAATGAGGGTGAAGCAAAATAAATAAATTAAAATTAAAATGTATAATGCAGTTTGGCGCTTCCCATTACCTCAAAACAATTATTGTGTTAAATAAGAACATTATAATGTCGAGCTGGTTTGACCTCTTTTTCGCAACATGGCCATGTTGTCAGGGCGACCTAGTTGGATGTACCTCGTCTGAAGTCCTTTGCTATGGTAGTTATGAAAATCCTCTGCGTTTGACAGTGTATCTGATGCATTCCTAGGCGCTTCGCCGGCATCTACCGGAATCCATCGAGTCCACTGTCCAACGCTGGGAATTATCATGACTACTATAGCTGAGGGCTTCGCCAAAAAGTGCGTCCAACTAGGTCACCCTGACAACACAGCCATGTTGGGAAAACGAGATCAAATCCTTTCCATACAGGTAGAAATACCAGTTTTATCAACGGTTACGTGCTAGCAAATGAATAGGAATGTATCGGTTGAGAATAAGCCTACAGAAAATAGCTATGTTGTCAAAAGAGAAGTATTTCCCCCAAATCGGATTCCTTATATTCTGTGATTTTGTTTTTGGGATGGCCTTGTGTCGTGTTAAATGTGCTAACCTTGCCATTCTCTCTTTAAATGAACAGCTGGCTTATAAAAGAATAAGAATAAGAATCCATAACTAGTCACAGGACAAATCTATATAATTGTTGAGCCCACTTCTATTTCGATTGAAAGTGTTTGGTGAAGAGATTCGGAGGTCGATCATATCAAACATCGAAGGCGGATTCCTCTAGACCAACTGTCGATTGAGTCTACTGTAATATTCTTGTTGTCGCTGTTTTCGAGGCAATCGCTTTCAATTTTCGTGAAATCGTGCCAAGCTTTCGTCCGTCGTATGATAGACATCATCAGAGTAAGGTATCATCCTTACAATGATCATCAGGCTAACAAATTTTCTTGACCTTTTAAAGGGTTAAGGGATTCTGCAAAATCCAATTTTTCTACATGCCTCTCGAAAAGTATCGCCTCGAAAACAGCGTCATCAAGAATGTTCCAGTTAAGTTGGTTAAAAGGAATCCGTCGTCGTCTTCTGGTGTAATCGACCCTCGAAGCTATTCACCAAACACTTTCACTCTAAATGGAAGTGAGCTCAATAAGTATGAACCTAGAGATTCATCGAAAGGTAAATTTTTTTTGCAACTATATATACTAGTACTACTTAAAAGGGTTTTATCAAACCCCTACTTTGTCATAGTCTCGGGTCTTTTGGATTTGGCTCAACATGAAGCCGGATATCAGGAGCAAGATGCGAATCCTGTTTATAGAGCTATTGTTTTAGAGCGAAATGTATCCATTGTTTCTAGTGTCATTAAACCACCCAGATTTCCATCAAGTACCAATCTGTTTCGCAGCAGACAACAGCAGTAAATGAATTTGAGACGAGATAAGCCAAGTTGATAATCTGCAATATCGTACAAAGATGAGCGCCTTTATAGTCGACCTAATTAGGACTATCCTGAATCATAGCAGGTCGTTGATGTGGATGTTACAAAACAAAAGGAATAATAACGTTCTGACGGTCTGTAGCCCCTCTGTCCATCACTTCTATACATTTTTGGCAGGCAATACGGTCTAGGCAACTGAAATTCAATAGGCTGCTTGTGGCAGTATTCATTTCATATATGAAGTGTACTGGCAGTCTTAAAACTATGCTTATAAACAAAAAAAGGAATAATGTTTCGTTCATAAGTTGGCTTTCAAGACTACCAGTACACTTCCTATATGAAAGGAATAAGGCCAGAAGCAGCCTATTTAATTTTAGTTGCCAAGATCATATAGCCTGCCAAAAAATGTACAGAAATGATGGACAGAGGGGCTATAGGATGATGCTCATATTTGAGAAAGCCTTGAAGATGCTCAAAGAGTGAATAGGAGAAGATTATTTTCCCGCTAGACGGAGAGCAGAGCAGCTTAAAGGGATGAAACCAGAGAAGACAGAATAAACTTTCGTACCCATAAACTCTGATAAAAGGTGTGGTCAAGCCAAGTTTGCCAGAAACGACGGCAGGCTCATGCTGCATTTTGGAGCTAAGCTGCTCGTTTGGTAATAAGTTGATGAAAATTAGGCAGAAGATACATTTATGGCTTAAAACCCCAACATAGAGCAGCTATTGAAGACTTCAGCTTCGTGCCATCCTAACGCTACATTGACTCATGAATTTAAGCAAGACCCCCAACTGGGTCCACTGCATGGGCTGTTGTTTCATGTCATAGCTGAAATGCAAAATAGTCGAGACGGGCTCCTATTATCCTTCCAAAAGATGGTACTTTTTAATTTAACGTGTAATCTCTACCTGAATGTCTTTGGAATGCTTGGTCACAAGAAAGTGTAGATTTGATCATATCTGCTAGTAAAATGATGATCAAAAACCACCAAGATGTGTAGGTCACAGAGATCGTGCTCTGGGAGAATTGAGAGAATACAGTGTGCCTTTACTCTTCCTAAGAACCGCCAAAACACTTCATGTGACGCCCCATAGCCGAAGTTCCAGAATAATGAAAGTACAATTGGTTTACATGGGATCCAAAGGATGAGTATAGTCTTTTCTTGTCTTGGTTCTAATGATAGTCAATTCTTCGTACTCTTAGCTCACTTTTGCTCTCTCACATTGAGAACAAAAACAAAAATAGGCTCATCAACAAAACCAGACGTGTGTCCGACCTTGTGCAATCGGAGGGATGGTTATAACTTAAATGTAGAAAGGGGGAGATAGGGGTCATCAAACCTTGATGGCCAAAACAGACGTTCCTCTTTTGCTGTCCTAATTATTTTGAGCCATCACTTCGGGTTTCGTGCACAAGCGAACACAAACAGGCACATAAACATACAGAGACAGACACACTCACATGCATCGAAGTTGACATATGACCTTAACTAACCAAATCACCCTTTACTTGATCAAAGAGGCCAGATGTAAAGTATATATACCAGTTTTTAGGGATTTGCCGGTGATTTTTCTTGACTCGTTAGCTTGAAGTTTGTTGTGAAGATGCTAGCTTGCTTTGATTATGTCTGTCATATGACGGAAGAAAGCGTAGGACCCTTTCACCGGAATCGAAGGAGATTGCCTCGGATACAGCGTCAACGTGAATCTTCCAGTAAAGCCAATCGACAGCTGGTCAAA